GGCTCAGGGTCCTTTCGAGGGGGCGCCCGACTGGGTGCCTGGCTAGGCCCTTGACTGGTGGTAGCCTTACTTTGGCCCCTAGTCTGCGCGGCCTGAGGTACCCTTCCATGCGACGTAGGGGGTGGGAAGGTCATCCCTGACCTAGGACCTGCCTCGGCCGTCGCCACGCTTGGACATCCTTGTGGTCCTGACGACGAGTCCAGACCGGACCCATAGAGCATCACCTCAGGAAGGCTCATTTCCCATTCCCSGGCCTTTTCACACATTGCCCTTAGTCGTTCCTGATACCTGCCAACCTTTGCAAGCAGGTTCTCCATCCTCTCCAGGATGGTCGAGGCTGACTCTCTCACCACTTCCTGCGCCTCATCGTCAGACTCAACAACTATGGGCTCCTCCTTTATAGCCCCCGCCCTCAACCGCTGAGTTACTTCCTCATTTTCATCCACAATCTCCTCGACTCTTACGCCGGGGTCTTGCCTTTCCTACCATATCCTAAACATTGTTGGGGCTGCTGGAGGCCCGGCCGCTGCCCGCTTGAGGGCTTCCTGCCTGATTCCTCCCGGGGTCTTGGGGTCAATATGCGTTCCCCACCGATCGTATGTATTCCCGTCCATACAGGTGGAGATTAATCCTGCCTTTTCGTCGTCTCGCCGCTGTTGGCAGAATCGTACGGTGTGGCCCACCTCGCCACAGTGCCAACAAGTTGCGTTCCGTCAGTCGAAGCGGGGTCTCCTGTACCCTTGGCCCCCTCCCTGGCTGCCTTGGCCGCCTTGGTTCTGACCCCCTTGACCATTCCAGCCTCCTCCACGGCCTCCCCCATTTCCTCCTCGCCCCCGTCCGCCCCCTCCTCTACCTCCTTGGCCCCGGCCCCCATTGCCCTGCCCGCCTTGTCCTTGGCCTCCTCCCCCGACCACACTAGCTTGCGAGGCCTGCTGGGAGGGCAGCGGTTGAGTCACGGGCTGACTTTGAGTCGCCGGGTAGCTCGGGGGGCCCATACTTGCGTATGGGCCTGAATAGGGGACCATGTGCCCCGCGTGGGCCTGACTCCCTCCACATGAGACACAGTGGTTACAACTGGGCCAGGGCGTAGATTGGCAATGYGGCACCCAGTGTCCACAAGATGGCGGCGGCCCCATGTGCGATGATCCGGCTGGCGCGGGCGCAGGGGTGGCCGCGGCGACAGGTGGTGGTGCGGCAAGGGCTTGGGGAGCCTGCCCTTTCCCTGATTCATGTCCCCCGAGTAGCAGATTACGCTGCTTCCTCTGGGCCTTAGTCAGGGCTTGGGAGCCCGTCTCCCCTCCGTCGTAGTCTTTGCGCCCTGCCTCCTCATCTTCTACTCCTGACGCCCGGCCTTGGGCCACTGCCACCACTCTTTTTTGTAGTTCAGYTGTGCTATCATACCCCAGTGCCGCCAACACGTCCGTGACTATCCTCTTCACCCCTGGGGTCCCGGATGCAGTAGCATCTCTCTCCTTCCTCTTGCGCCTTTGCAGCCTCATTTGGTGCTGCTCCACCTGGTCCAGGCTCCCTTCTTCTACTCCCTTGTCAATGGTTGCCCAGGTGAGCCTCTCGCTTCCTTCCCCATACTTCGTCAACTCTGTGGCCTCCGAGCTTGTAAGCAGCCCCAAAAATGTGGCGCACTGTGCCTCCTCAGAAATCCCGTGCACTTTCCTCGCCCTTTTCTTGAACTCGTGCACAAACGCCCCAATGGTAGAGAAGTCTTCCTTGTTCATGGCCTCCAAGTCGGCCATGGTCAACAGGCCGTCCCCCAGCCTATACTTCCTTCGCATTAGGTCTCCAAACTTTGCCCAACTGCCACCGGCGGCGTCCACAACCTTAGTTACTTCCCGATGGTGACTGTGCAGGACATACCTCAGGACCCGCTGGAGCTTGACCTCATCTGGCATTCCCACCAGCGCCTGCTCTGTCAGATCCAACCAATCAGATACTCGATCCCCTTTGAAGTGGAATGTCTCGACTTTTGGGACGTTGCTCGGCGCCCTCTTGCGCTTGTCCAGGGCATCGATGAGGTCATCGAGAGTCACAAGCTTCCTCCCACCGTCCGCCATCTCTTCTGGCATCTTGGCCACCCGCCTTCGACTCCAATCTTCCTGTTATAAGAGACGATGGGACAGAGGACCCCACTCAGCGACTCAACCTTTCATGACCCTATCGAGTTGACCACCTTAGACACCCCACACTCTAGACCTGACAGGCATTCCTTCTCCCATTTCCCTTGGGCTCATCTAGATAACGCTTATCCTTACCATAAAACTTCCTCATCCACATACAGCACTCAGCTGCCACCCAAACCGCCAATCAATCAATCATCCAATCCATAGTCATATAGATCACCATACGGTCCGTCTCATAGTCCTTCTCTTCTCCCGCTCATATGCCTAGTTCTCTCTCACTCTCGTACCTGGATATCGTTCCACCAGGGACAACGGTAGGCTTCCGTTATCCCCGCCGACGGCGCCACCTGTCGAGCGCATCGGCCCGACACCGCATGCGGCGGCGCGGGACCCTCTCGGCCGCGTCACGCAGGAGTTGGATCAACCTCGACATAACACGCGAATGGAGCTTCCTTAGGCCGCTCCGCCTGAGTGCACCAGCCATACCCCTCGCGAGCCCCTACGACAGGATAGGGCCTACACGAGGCACAACTTACCTCCMCCTTACGGGAGCTATCACCTCCCTTCGGTGGGCGTATCCCCGCCGAGCTACCAGTCCACAATACGAAAGCTACTCGGTTGCAATCGCAGAGGTGGACCAGCCGAGGGCGTTTCTCGTTCGCTGTAGCATAGGGGGTACGCGCGATAACACGCCTATCGGACCCGCACGCAAACCGACATCTTGGGGGGCTGAAGTCCCAAGCGCGGCCCGTCGTCGGTCGACTAGGACGCATCCCACGCACCACGCTGCGAACACAAAAATAAAATACACGCGCACACGCACACGCACATCCAACGCGCCACAACACGAACAACGCGGGCACTATGCGAACAACGCGACAACGCTCCGAGCCCCTCGGTAGCCGTCCTATAACTCCCCAATACGGAAATCGAGTGGGCGTCGCGCGTGAGACCTAATATAAAATTCGCGAGGACGCAGGGCTAACTCATATTGACTCGCAATGCAAGCGTACGCACGAGGTCGCAATGATGGCGTACCATGTAGTACCCATACTCACGCGGTCCTCGTTGCTCTCGAGGGTCGCGTTCGACACTCAAGTGTCGGCTGACACGCGCCTAGAGGGTTAATCTCTCGACGCTGAACAGCCGCCATGCGTGGTTGGAGACTACACACCCTCTTCTGCACCCTTATGCAGAGCGGGTGGTACACAGGCCCATGCCTGTGGTGGTAGTCGTCTCTCGCGGCCCTAGGGATGAGTCCTCCCCGGGGTCTGGGCAAAAGTCAAGGGGTTTGACTTTGACGGCTGCCACGGACTACAACGTCCAACCATAAAATCTCTAAGAAGCAACAAGACTCGCACGAACCCAAGAAGAGGGGATAGGGCTAAGGTCTCCTGGCCTTTAAAACAAAAACTCATGGCCTTGGGACACACTTCCCCTTTGTCGGCGGTGCAGGCGGCCTACAATAATCCCAAGCGCTGCGCCTACGCGAAAACCAGGCGGTCCCATAACTTTTAGACGCCAGGGTGGCAAGGCGTCGTGCGCAGGGTTCTGATATAAAACTGCGMGGCCGCAGGCCGACCCTATGCCAACCACTGATGCCAATCATATCTGGTAACCGCGACTTTGGCCTTGCGATATTGAATGGCTGAAGGAACTCATCGCGGGGGGGTTACCCCTCACGATATTGAATGGCTGAAGGACACGTCGTTCGGCCCTTGCGACATTTCTGCTTTTCCGGCGGGGTGTCCCGCCGGCCAAAATAAACAGGCTCTATGCAAGGGGGGACTCCTCCCCTTCAAGGCCTAGGGCTTGGGATGTCCTGGACAAGGACCTCGAATCCCGGCCCAGGACCAACGTCCGACTAAGAAAGCCACAAGGCGCAAATAGGCAGAAGGGAGGGTCTTCCCTGTCCCTCAATCCCAACTCTCACGCGGTTGTTAACATGGCCTCTTAGGCTTCCCGAACGCTCATCATACGTATATCCACGCATACATACGGAAGGGGGATAAAGTTATGACGTTCACTTCTCACATGCACAGTGAGACTCCTCACAACCATGTATATGTATATGGAATCGCAGGCAGTCCAAATCCAAAAATCTGAGGCACAGGACATACCTGCAACCACACCAAGAATCAAGTGACAAAACACGCACTACACGGAATCAACCCCAACCATTTTCTATGCTCATACCCCTTCGCTTTAGTCATGCAAGCCCCAACTTCCAATTCAACCAACCTCAATTAAATACTCAGTACCTTTGTTAAATGGTCATTCAATAAAAGTCCGGGTGAAACCCTTAACAAACAGTAAAACCACCAGGGCTAAGTCTTTTAGGTTGAGTATGGGGAATGAGTTGAAATTGAGTCGAAGACCGACGAATCGGCAACCGACCTGTTATCAGTGATAACAGAAGACGATCCTCGTAGGATCAAGCCGGAACTAGTCCAAATCCTGAATCAATTCGATGAAGATGGTCTGTAACACAAGACATGTCAATCCCCAGGCTAAACCTATAAGTCCATGGAGAATAATCCCCATAACACGATCCCACTTAAATCACCTTAATTAACTAAGCCCGAATCTACTTATAAGCCGTGCCCAAAGCAAAGGTAGAACCCGACATGATTTCCCCTATTCAGGGTGGACTGCCTGAATCGCCACCTGTCAAAATATAATCGAACTCCTCTAAATCAAGAAAATTTCGACAGTGCTTCCCGTAGGAAAAGTGTATTTCCGAAGTTTATATGAGCCTAAATATGAAAACAGAAATAATCTCCAACTTTGAAAAGTTAAATTCTATCCAACTCCCTTAATTAGTAGAAATTTGGATAGCACTCCCTTTAGAAARGGAGACTTCCCAGATTTATACTAGGTCAGATATGAGCTCACAAGGTTACTTGAGTTCAACTTAGACAAGATTTAACTAACTCCTTAGTTTTGCAAAAAATTCGGCAGCACCCCCTTAAAAAAGGTGCTATTCCAAAATTTATACAAGGCTAAGTTCATAATCTGAAAATAACTCTGACTTCTCAAAGTTCAATTTTGTCTAACTCTCTGAATTAGCAAAAATTTGGGCAGCACTCCCTTTAGAAAATGAGACTTTCCAAATTTTTACTAAGTCAGATATAAAGAATAGATAAGTTGAACTTTGACAAGTCAAAAGTTGACTAACTCC